TAGTAGTCGTAGCGGGTGACTTTAATGCCCAAGTAGGCAGCTTAAATCAAACAGAAAGACATTTAGGTGGGTGTTTTAGTATTCCGGCTCAACGAACCGATAATGGTGATCGTCTGTTGCAACTATGCACAGACAATCGTTTATTTTTAGCAAGCACTAATTTTAAGCATAAGGAGAGACATCGTCTAACATGGCGACCACCTGCACCAAACCAATGATGAACTCAAATAGACCATATTGTCATCAGTCATCGTTGGAGAGGCTCAATAGAAGATTGTCGCTCGTACTGGAATACTTGTTTATACTCTGATCACGCTTTAATACGAACGCGCATTTGTCTGCGCCTCAATGGACGCAGGAAAAGTACACTAAGAAGACCCATTAGGATTGAACTGGAGGACGAGAAAGCCAAATGCGAATTCCAGAAACAACTGAGTTCACATCTAGGCAGTTCTGTAAACGAGACTGACCCAGATGCTGCTTGGAAAGACACACGAACAGCTGTGGAAACAGCAGTAACCTCTATTAGTCATTTAAACCATAGGGCTCCAAAAAACCAGTGGATTTCCTCTAAGTCTATTTCACTGATGGATTCGCATAAACTCATCCCATCAGGCTCTGAACACGACGAAGAGCGTAAACAAATCAGATCTAGGTTAACTAAAAGTCTAAGGAACGATCGTGAGCAGTGGTGGGCAACGAAAGCAAAAGAGATGGAAAAGGCAGCGGCTGTAGGCAACACCAGGCAACTATTCAGACTAATAAAAGAAATCGGAATTAAGAAGTCAGGTGTAAGTGAGACAATCTCGGAAAAAGATGGAACCCTTATCTGCTCTCAACCCAAACGTTTAGAACGATGGGCGGAACACTTTAAGGAGCAGTTTAGCTGGCCTTCAGCTACTGCACAACTACCCACTATTCCCAGAAAACCTGAATGGGAAATTGAAGTAGGCCCCCCGACCCTACTTGAAGTTCAAAAGGCTATAGGTAATCTGAAACGAGGAAGAGCAGCTGGTATTGATGGATTGGCTCCAGAGGTTTTTAAATACGGTGGTCCAATTTTAGCGATTAGGTTGACTAATATTCTGGCTAAAATCTGGGAGACGGATGTAATCTCATCCGACTGGTCACTATCACTGATTGTCCCGATATATAAAAATGGGTCAAAATCATCCAGCGATAACCATAGAGGGATTAGTCTGACTAACATAGCATCTAAAATACTAGCCTCAATAATTATCGGGCGCCTAACTAAGACTCGTGAACTGCAAACACGAGAAAATCAGGCTGGCTTCAGACCTAGTCGTGGCTGTATCGACCACATATTCACCATTCGACAAGTTTTAGAGCACAGACATGCTTATCGGCGTCCGACAATGATAGTTTTTCTTGACTTAAAAGCAGCATTTGACTCTGTAGACCGAGAGGTTCTGTGTCAGTGTCTGTCATTGAAAGGTGTACCTGAGAAGTACATAAACCTTGTGAAGGCTCTTTACTGGAACACTACCAGTTGAGTGAGAGCTTATGGCGAACTGTCATATGATTTTAAAACCTCAAATGGTGTCCGTCAAGGCTGTCCACTATCCCCGTTTTTGTTTAACTTCAATATAGACCTGTTGCTGGAAATAACACTCTCTTCGACTGAATCTACAGGAATTGATCTCCTACCAGGGGGACCACTAAGCGACTTAGAATACGCAGATGACATAGTCCTGTTTGGTGAAGACGCTGACAAAATGCAGAGTCTTCTGTTGGAACTCAGTAATAATGCCAGGATGTTTGGGATGCGTTTTTCTTTATCTAAATGTAAATTGTTACTCCAGGACTGGCCTGCGTCAACACCCTAAGTAAGGATAGGGAGTGAAGTAGTCGAACGCGTGGACAACTTCACTTATCTTGGAAATCTGATCAGCCCTAATGGGTTGATGTCTGACGAAATCTCAGCACGGATTCAAAAAGCTCGTTCGGCTTTTGCCAACTTACGTCACCTATGACGAAGACGAGATATTCGTCTATCAATTAAGGGACGAGTATACTGCGCAGCAGTTCGCTCTGTTCTACTTTACGGCTGTGAAACATGGCCATTAAGAGTAGAAGATACTCGTAAGTTACTAGTATTTGACCACAGATGCCTTAGAAATATTGCTCGCATCTGCTCTGGTCACCGGGTAAGTAATAGTGAGGTTAGACGCAGGGTATTAGCAAATGATGGTAAATCAGTTGATGAGGTGATGAATCTTTATCGACTGAGATGGTTGGGTCACGTGCTACGTATACCTGAACACCGATTACCACGACGCTCTATGCTGACTAGTGTTGGGGATGGTTGGAAGAGAGTTAGGGGCGGCCAAACCAAAACATGGCATTAGTGTTTGAAGTCACTAACTTCTAGCCTGAGCCATGTTGGCAGATGCAGACTACCTGGTTGGGGTCCGCGCATCTAACGTAACCAATGGTTGGAGACTGTAGGTGACATGGTTCAGAATCGATCACAATGGCGTAGGTGTATACACTCTTTATCTTCCCTTAAACCTTGAGATTAAAATTGCTTCATATCTCTCTTCCTTCCTGTACTATATCCTTATATACAACCTATAATTTATATACTACTACCAACACTAAATTAACTACTATGAATCCGGTGTTCATATTGTTGTGCTAACGAGGTATGGCAACTTGGACCGATGCATATATGTGCCTGGTCCTACGTTGTAGCTGACTGACTGACTGAGATACAAGTGTTTCTTAACAGCTGTCTATGCAAGATACTTCGGATCCGTTGGCCAGACACTATCAGAAACAACCTACGTTTGGAGAGAGCAATTCAGATGCCAGTGGAGGAAGATGTACTGGAAGTGGATAGGACGAACCTTGAGGAAATTACCCAACTGAGCCACAAGACAAGCCCTCACTTGGAATCCTCAATGCCAAAGGAAACATTATGCCGAGAAATGGAGAGACATGAGAAGAATGAACAACAATATGAAAGAACTAGAAAGGAAGGCCCAGTATAGAGTGGGTTGGAGAATGCTGGTCGGCGGCTTACGGTCAATTGGGGGTGTTAGTGGGACATATATTGGATTAAAGCATGTTTCATGCACGATGGTGTTGCTGCACGCTGATTGGCTAATTCTAAACCGATCAGCCCGGGCATATTACTGCAGAAAAATCTAGAAGCTTCTTATGTATATACTATAAATCTATGAACGTTATTCAAACTAGAGATTGCTGTTCACTTATCATTATTATTTTGAACACAATTTTATTCCTGTTCAACGTGTTCTGATTTTGGGGTCTTGTGGTGTGTGATTATATAAGAATACTAAGCAATAGGAATAGCTGGGTCGTTTATATAGCAAAATACAATTATAACAGGGGGTAACAGGCGTAAATAAGTAGTGAAGTCATTAACAGTTGAACGACTTGAGTATTATCTGGGAACTACCGAAGCTAATGTAGTTTTCATTAGGGACAGGCAAAAGTAGCCAAAATAAATTTTTCAGGGTGAGTGCTAAGATAGTAGATAAGGAAGAAATGAAGTGTTTTGACTGGGTTTCCATTTTAGTGCTATTTAACTTCGCCGCGGCATACAGTTAATGGGATCAAATCAATTTGATATATCACTGTGTCTCCCCTGAATAAGTGCATAGTATCTAGTTGCTATTCATCTTGGTTAACAAAGAATTTTGTAAGTTCACGATAACTTCCTGTCTAACCACAACTTGTAATCATGAGGTGATTTACAGGAGAGAATCCTGCTGATATGTAGCCGAAAAGTAGACAGTAGTGAAAGTCTTCATGAATATCGTAGAATTATTTCGACCTGAAATTTTAAGTTGTTCATTCGATTAATGAATTTTGTTTCAGCGACCTAACTTTCCTGATGTTATAAACATGTACCTTCGTTCAATAACACTCCACATTCAGAGATGTTAGGAACATTCACACATGTAACAGGTTTAATTTTATTGGTCATCTGCAATAATTCGTTAGACGCCTAGTGTTAGATGAATCTCGATAATGCAATGAGAAGACGAAGTTTATCAGATGAATCACTGAACAAAGAGCGTGAATTTGTAATAAGGTTCATTAGTATTTTGCCTGGGTATTATCACATGCAAGACAATATGTATTTCTCAATAATGGGCTAATTTGAATGAATATACATCGTTTACCAAAATTCCGCAGATGACTGCTTTCTCTCAAATACTATACTACAAGATTCGAAAGACTGAAACAGTGAATAACGTTTAATGTATCTCTGGAAATTAATAAGAAGCATCGACATATATTTAACCGGGGTGTGTCTATCTAGCACCAAGTAACTAATCATGAGGTTAGCTTAAAATGATTGACGTGTAGAAGTGTATAATTCACGACTATTTACCTTTACTGCGATATACTAAATATTATCACTGTTGTTGCTCCATCCATTAAATGATCTGTTTGCTCAATAGTGTAGTTAACTGTGGTGGCTTAAGTAATAATAAGTAGGACTTTTTTATACATAGAAAAATATTGATTCAAATGGTCTTCCTATCTGTTGAAATAGGTATGTGCCTTAAAAAGAACTGTACAAAAATATTCGCCAAAATAAGGTTTGATGATGACTCCGAATTATGTGCAGTGAGGATGCCTTTGAGTATTATACAACGGCTGCCATTTCAAACAGGGAAAATTTAAGATCAAACACATATTTGTTGTTTCCTACATCTAAACGATAAAAAAGATCGAATATCAAAAACAGAATCAATTTCTTGGATGCTACAACATCATGCGTTGGGAAACGTTAAAAAAAGTACATCAGTACATTCTCACAAAATAACTGCAATAGGCATTTATGCCATCTTGTTGACAATTTAAATCATCAATGGTACGTATCGATCACTATTAAGGACTAATTAATACAGAGAAGAAGCGACTTACACGGAGGCCTAAAACTTCTGAAATTCAATTTTATACTCATTCAGATGCTTAATATATTTGAAATTATCAAATTAAACCTCAGTAATGATATATATTTATCATCCGCTTGGAAAAAAATGCAACAAACTACAAATTATTGAACATTGAAGTTGTTGACAAATATATATGTATATGACAAAATTTTGTACTGATAATTTAAGAACAGAACACAGTACATCCATACGAAGATGTAGGGGTTATGATGAAACTATTACTCATGGTCGACATCGACCCATGAAGCGAGGATATAGGCAAACATCTCGTATATGATCTTTGCCTAAAAGCCAAGTACAAAATCGTTCGAAGCCTAATCCATAGCCACCATGTGGACAAGTTCCGAATTTGCGCTAAAGTTGAGAAAAAACACAAACAAACAGAATGGTGATGACAATGAACATTATAAAGCATTCTACATACAAAATAAATATTTAGAACTATAACGTAGTCAACACTAAACGGTTAAATTTCACCGTGATATCTCTGGAGGAAGCGCCCATCTTTGATATAGTCAATTCACTACTTTTGAGTGAACATGAGAAAGCAATAACTAAGTTGGAAAAAAGTACATAAACATCTATATGACCACGATAGGTAAATTCCAGAGGTAACCAAACATTGACAAACATATTAGATAGAGACTGTGGGTTGGTCATACTTATTCTGATTCAGGCCAATGATCATCACAATTTACAAGGGTACACACCATAAAGAAAAAAGTTCGACCACAACAGTTTTTAAAACTTAAATATATTTAGGGAGTAGCAAACCCTGAAAAAGTCATAAAGGTATTTGACCTGATAGTCAACGGTATTAATTAAATATCTATCACAGGTTTTACAACACAAATACATTGATTGACGCCTTACTATAGTCAAATTCATTGACCTAAATGTGGAATTAAGCCGTGTCGACCAGGCAAGTCCATTGGGATTGAAATAGTGATTAGCATAAGGAGTGAATCAGAAGATTAAAGGTAACCTAGACAACAGATGCCCTCAATCAACAGAGATGGTACATGGTGTGAATTTATTCGTTCTTTATTTTCCTTCAAACCTTGAATTATTTTATACAATCTTTCCCTTAATCCCTTTACTGCTTTCTAAGCTAGAAGGTACAATGATTTCAGCCTCTTTGATTTCTATTGATGTGAAGTGTGACAGTTCGGGATGACTCATATTTGCGTCAAGTTCTATATGGTGTCCACTTTTCTGATGATTGGTCCCGATAATCTAATATCAAATATACCGAAATATCGCATCATTTATCATCTAATAATCAACAAACTAGACATGGGAAATACAGTGACAACATACTATAGTTAAGAGATAGAAAAATGGATCTCGTTTATACACTAAACGTATTATATTCAACAAATTACCTGATCTGTATACCAGTAATAAGCGGTTGGATCTGCTTCCAAAGACTGATATCCTTTGAGAAGATTATCAATATCATCTATACGCATTGATCCACCGACTAATTCACCAACGCCTGGGACAAGTAGATCAACCTGCAAAATTAACAAAAACAGGGTGATCTTGAAATCAGCGAAGCCAAAAAATGTAACTTATTTAATAAAGTTATTCTGACTTGGACTCCTTAAACAGTGTGTACATTACTTGTTGTATCTTTTGGCCGAGTGGATGCCTAGTTGATGTGTGATGCGATAAGACCGCCAAACAGGGAGCAGCGAATTATTGATTGGAACAGTGATACACGAAACCGTACGAGCAGACTAGAGTGCTAACCGGTCCTTCCTACTGCCTAGCCCAGCCAGTTAAGTCCAGAACACAAACAACAGCCTCGGCAATATGAATCATTATTTACAAACACACTGGGTTTTTATACAAACCGAAGTAATCAATAAACTGATTATAACTCAAGAATCGTATGAATAAGTCAAGGTCAAAATAAAGCTAATGATAAGAGAAATACGAATATGAATAGTTTAGTTACGTAATAATTGTAAAATAGGAAATAGGCATATTACATTGGTCCATAAATAAACCTAAAAGTTACCATTCGTAATTCACCGGGGGATATAACACTACTGACGATTGATGAAGTCAATCAAGCTGACAGTGTCACAGTACTTCACTGAAGATTATATATTACATATTGACTCGGTGAAATTATGACTAAATAATTTGAAGGTGTCGTGTTTCACAGTGACGTGGGAGTGAAGATGGTGCACGGTTCAATTCCATGTGAGTGAAAAGATTTGTAGACTAGGACGAAACAGTTGTTCAGTACACCATAGTTTCTCAGAGATGTCCATTTATGACGTCAAGCTATGCACTGTCTATTAATAAAAAAGTGACCAACAATGTTTTATCTTCAAATGCTACTGTGATTCAATTCGACCATCGTATTGCCTATCTTTGTTTAACCCCCAATCGATAAAGACTTTCCTCCTCCTCGTGTAAGTATTTGGTTGTTGTCCAAGGTTTTTTTGTTTTACTATTTATTTTTCTGACGGACCATGTGCAAGTATGTCGTAGGAATCTATTGAATTTATTCATTCAACTAGAAATATACGTATGAGCGATAGATTAAAAAAAAGTAACCCAAACGAAGGTCAATACAGTTTCAAACAAGTTATTTCCAACTCACTTTAGCATCATAACTAATTGAATATCAAAAATGCAAGGCCTATTGTAAAGCAGTTTGAACAAGAAAAGGGATTTTTGAATTACACAGAGCTACTTACCGAGTCAGTTAGACGTTCATCACCTTTAGTTCGTAACATATAGAAGACTTTTAATCCAGCAGGAAAATTAGTTAACAGAACCGGTTCACCAATTGTGTCTACAAGTCGACGTTCAGGAGCCTCAGGAATATCATCACCATACTGAAAAGGTGTAAGATCTTCCTTTGTAATACCTAAATTATTTAAATAAACAATTGCATCTTCGTATTTTAGTCGTTTGAAAGGAAGTTTAGGTGTTTTGAATTGCTGAAAAAGAGAATAAACCGAAATAAGAAAATGTAAATCTGATCATTGTGAATATGAACAATGCATGAAAAATTTAAGCTACATAAAAACAACGATGTCGTTAATCTAGCACACTTAATAGTACACGTTTCTAAATCCAGTCAGTCAATTAGTGATAATGACCACACAACTAATTAATGTTTAAACATTACGCTCTCATAATGATGTTGAGATGATTATTGTGGGTTCAACCTTTGGTGGGGTCGTGGATACTTACTGTATTTCAGATGACATCAGACGAAAAGTTTGTCTAAATATTAAACAGCAAAGTTTGTAACTATAATCATGAGAAAAAGGCATAATATTGAATCGATCATGGGGGAAAGAATGATATCCGGGAATATTCGTTAATGAGTTACGGATATGCAAAAACTAATATGTACCAATTTAAGAATCCAGCAATGCTCATCAACTCAACAAAGTTTATATACATAATAGTCTATACAAACTAATTGGACGTCCTACTAATAGTAGGTTGTAAGTGTGAACACTGTTGAGACTTTTTCAATTATTTTTTCCTCAGTTGGAAGAGTTTTGTGGAGACTGGTTTAGCTTGTAGGTTGTATTTGTTACAAAACAATCTCGGTTGGAACGTCATTGACAATTGTTTTATCGGAGTATGGGACTACTCAGTGTTCGAGATTCAGGATACCATCACGAGGAAAGCTTAACTATTAGAACCACTGAGTAGGTGCATTTAACACTACAGTTCCAAAATCATCCAGTTTGGGATACGACGATTATCCAAAATTGTTATTGATGACTCTTTTTACTCCCAACTTATCTGAACCTCATCAGTAACGACTTAGAACTAGAATTTCAAAGTAAGTCACCAGTAAGCTAACTATTGTCGTCTAATTAAAAGCTTTGTGAAGATTGGTTCAATTTGTGGGTAATCATCGTTGTATTCATCAGCCAATGATGTAAACTACCTTTGAAATGAAATATCTCCGCAAATATCTAGTTATGTAATATTGGAAAACTGAAGAAAAAAACAGAAATACTATTTTGAAACGAACAACAAACACTTCTCTCAATATATTATTACTACCATGTGTTGTCAAGATCAAAACTAACCGGGTTCACATCTAACAACAGATCACCGGATCGTTTCATGATGCGATCACAAACATCCACAACTAAATCCTCAATTCGTTCTAATAAATCATTAAAATCAATAAATGGACATTCCGCTTCAACGTGATTATATTCAGATAAATGGCGCCGAGTTCTACTCTGGAAACATGAAAAGGAAATTGAATTAGTTATGGACTGGCAATGAAATTATATATACATGCAGTAATACCTTTGAATTAAAAAGGGAGTAAAGGAAAGCAGTCTGTTAGTTGATTATAGAGATAGGATAGACGTAGAGCGTTTCAGTAACTGCAATGAACTCCTAACTATTGTGTAGAAGTTTCAGCTATCGAATATGCACCAATACATCTCAGGAAATCATTACCAAACAACCCCTAAGTTTTCAATATTAGTGAACTAATAATGCGAAAATTTGTAGAAGAATATTACTCGGATGACTATTTAGCCAAGATTCTCTTGTGGCTCGATGATAATGAAGTGGAACAAACCATAACACATTAGAACTTGTATAATCGGGTTTTAATAATGGCACTTGGGAAGCTTTAGATGAATATTTCATGTGCAAACACAAACATCTCAATATCTGAGGGAATTTATCGACAGGCAGCAACAAACTGGCGAGAGTAAAACAGAATAGTTAGCAACGAGTAATGAGTGCCTCGACAACGCTAACAGAAACTCTGCGAGACGAAATGGTATTTGAACATTTATCTTAAGAATCACAATTCCGTGAAGATATGAGAACAATGATTAAACATGGTGACGTAATAAAGAGGTAATAATACTAGATTACGTAATATGAATGATAACGATAAGAGATTGTGTAAATAAAAAGCCTTGTTAAATTAATAAGTTAAAAACTGATTATACTGTGAATGGAGTAAGATAATTAGGATATTTTGTTACAATAATTAAAGGCAATAGAGGAGTTAAATGGAATAAAGTGATTAAACAACCATGAGTAAAATCATGGAGATATGATATGCCAACGTTTTCGTAGGTCGGTGTTCAAAAATGGCCACAACAGCTTAATCTAATAATGTAAGCGAATTCATTGTTTCATGTTGTGGTTGTTATAAATTTCCGCCTGCTACTATATCAAATTATGCTGACGCCTGATATACGGTAATATTAATATATACGAAATTTTAAACATTTCCCACCACCGCGTTTGTGCTAAAATGGGTTTTATTTCAGGTTGTATTCAAGATAATTAGCGTTTAGTAACTGCTAACACAAGCAAAAAAAATGCGTACATTTAGTTGCAGACAGTTGTTCATAGCCTATGATAAAAAAACGCAAGAGGCTATTTCCGGTACTGATTGTCTAGAACAGTGTAAAGCTTTAAGTAATCTCGAAGCTCCAATATAAAACCAGACAATCATCTATCCATGTAGTGATCGTGCGTTCTTACTCCAACAATTCAATGAGTGGCGAATCGAGAAGAAACAATTCCTTTTAGCATATAATTGATGCAGGTGAGTGTGCTCACTAGATAACTTCCTAAGAGAATATCGATCAGTCACTAATCAGACCAGGACCTTATGATTTAGCCGCTTGTATTTCTATGGGGTATCACTTCTGTTGTATTGATTGACACGGGAATGGTTTACTTAGACTATATGTGGAATACTGTTAACCTGACCTTATCACCAGGTGAGATTTATTCTGTTTCCCTCAGACGGAATCATGATACAAATAAACAAGTTGATACTTGGCAAGGTTCATTAGTTCGGGAGATATATTTTCAACACAAATTGATACATTTGCAAGTGCGAACGAATTCATGAGCTCTAAATATTATGCACAACCAAGTGTCCAATTGGGAATCTACAACAACACTAAATTAGTGGCAAAATAGAAAACGAGGATTGTTGGTAAAAACTTACTTTTTCAGCTCGATAGCTACGGGTTATGCAGAAGCAGTCACCTACAGCAGGTATACATGTTTCTAAATACAACTGAGACGATTGAGACATGAATGCAGTCTCACCAAAGTAATTCAAAGAAAACAATGTAGCACTGCCTTCGACTTGAGTTTGAACAAATGTCGGCGGTAAAACCTATAGAGAAGACAAGAGAAACAAATTATTCAGAAAAGTTTATTTTGAATAGACTAGTATATGACCTAGTTATAACGGAATGGTAATCGATCTCTCTATATATATACGAGGGTCATTTTGATCTGGAACACCTGGAGGTAACAATCATGGCTGTCGCGTTGATCGATGTAAATGCAAATCATCAAAGCAGAGTGATGTTACTTACGGCTTCATTGCAGATTAAGAACAGTAAGTATAAAGATTTGGTAGAGCAAAGTACTTGAGACCAGTAAGAAAAAAAAACTGATTAGACTATAAACATTATCATTTATTTTGATGGTCGACAAAATATCAAACACTAATTGAGCTTACAATAATAGTAGCTATTCATGCATCATTGAAAAATGATGAGTAAAAGAAATACAAATAAGTGATATCATCGTTTAGTAGCTTTACTGATCGGATGAATGTCAAGAAACCTCTTACAATATTTATTATTTATTTATTTAAACACATATATATTGGTACAAAAGGGCACCAGGTACATATGCGCCACACTATTTGTGTGCGTGGGCTGTGATACTTCCCGGGTGCCCAAACCGAAGCAGGTGGTTTTCTTAGAGGGCCACACCCCGAGCCTTTGATCTAAAGGTCTGATCCACAAGGCAGTGGAGCATCGTGAGGAGATGCAGTCCCATGGTAGCCGTTGACCAACAATAGGTTCATTCGCCATTCGTTCCATCAGGATACTGGAGCCCATGTGCACCATTGGTTTGGAATCAGGGTTCTCCAACTCCCCTAGGTGAACCCTCCGTGTCCACCAACCCGGTTAAAGCGCCGGACATTCGCTTTTTGTTTTCTCACTTTCGTAAACAACACCCCCGCCACGAGAAGGCAGTGAGTAGGACTTCCCTGGCAGAGGCTATATATTCGCTGGCCATGTGAGAGCATTTCGAGAGGGAGAGTGGACTCTCCTCACTCTCGGCCGTACCAGGGCATTTGGGGGCACCTCTTACAATACTAAAACAACGTAAATATTTAGTGCTTCCTGGTTTCCAATCATTCTTCTTTAGTTAATATCACGGTTTATGAAGTAAACCGACCATAAGAACTAATTTCCATATATATTAAGATCAAACAATTTATCGGTAAAAGTATACGGAAACGAGACTACTTTTGTAACAAAACTAACCTCCACATAACCACGATCTACGAAATGTGCACGAAAAGCTTCCAAAGCAACACTGACGAGCCTGAGCACTTTCGCTGTCTACATTGAAAATGAAGTATCAAAATGAAAAATATATATACGAAACGTAAACAGTTTTCAAAATAAAAATGATTGACATTAAGATCACAGATCTGTTCGCATTTATAGTCTGTTTTTACAAACTTCAAATATTAAATGTTATTTCTGAATTTATTCCTTAATCTCATTGGTTCTTTTTAGAGATGCATTTTATGATTTTTCACTTTTACCGGCCTCAAATAGCATTGCACGGTCGAGGGTGGAGAGAGTTCAATCTCCCTCTCGAATATAGAGGGCTTGCTAGAATCTGGACTAGCTGATCCTGCCATTTAGACATTTCAACAAGTTATCCATTTCTTTTGTTTGTTTTAACATGTAATTGTGAGTGAGTACGTTGAAAGCTCTAATGTGTAGTTTGAAACGAGGTTTCAGTAGACCTGGGACAGCGGTTCGCGTACTAGAATTGTTGGCTATGGTGACACGTGAGGAGGAAGCCGAAAGAGCAAGTTTACTGTTGAAAGTCACTGTAGGATGAATAATAGGAATTGAAGGAGATTGATATGAATACAGTGATTTATTTATTTAAACACAAAAATATTGGTACAAAGGAGCACCAGATACATATGCGCTACACAAATCTCATTTGATCTTGAGTGATGTTAGAAGTATGACGGCAGTTATCACTTTCCGGTTGTCCACACCGTGGAAGAGGTACCTGAAAAGGAAATTCGATTAGAAGTGATCTTAGTGACCTGAAAGAGCGACCGCAGTGCCTAAGGGACGTAAAACAATGAAGATACTGATGAAAACGGTGCGGAAAAATTGGGTGATCGAATGAGAGCGAACGATACGTTGTTCAAAGAATTCAATTGTTGACGTTTTATTTACAATACAATTATGGGTGATGACTATTTTCATACAAAAACAGAAACTTTGAGGAAACTGAAAAGATTATTAAACACCACTTACATTTTCTCCTCGAATAACCAAATGTCTGTTGTCCAACTGAGTGTCTATATCACTTTCCACAGTTAATATAGAGTCGATGCCACCAGCTGGTGCTTTACCAATTATCGCCCAACCATCAGCAACCAATTCTATGCCTCCAGGAGCTGACTTGCCAGATGGCAATTGTTTTACCACTCCATAAACTTCGACAGTAGACTCTGGTGATAGTGTGATTGCATCCTGAGTTAAACACTTAAAAAGTAGTACGGCACGAAAAAGTTAAATTGTACGTGATCGAATTAAAAGCGATTAAAAACTATAGGCCTATTATTGATAGAATAAAGTAATCTACGAATCAATCTATATTTATTTAAACACAAACATTGGTACAAAGAGGCACCAATTATATGCGCTACTCTTCATCATTCGATTTGTGTGAGGGCTGTGATATTGCCCGGGTACCCAAACCGAAGCAGGTAGTTTCCTTAGGGGCCACTCCGCGAGCCATTGACTCTGAAGTTCAATCCACAAGGAAGTAGAGCAACATAAGGAGATGCAGTCCCATGGTAGTCGGTAACCAACAGTAAATTCGTACACCATTAGTTCCCTCAGGATCCTGTAGCCCATGTGTAACTAGTTTGGGATCAGGGTTTTCCAACTCCCCTAAATGAATCCTCCATACTTCCTGGCTTAGGTATGTGAGACAATACCGGTCTATGATTGAAGAAATTGAGTGAAATGTTATGAAATCAGTTGCAGATGCATGAGCCCCCAAATGCCCTGGTACGACCGAGAGTGAGGTGAGTCCACTCTCCCTCTCGAAATGCTCTCACATGGCCAGCGAATATATAGCCTCTGCCAGGGAAGTCCTACTCACTGCCTTCTCGTGGCGGGGGTGTTGTTTACGAAAGTGAGAAAACAAAAAGCGAATGTCCGGCGCTTTAACCGGGTTGGTGGACACGGAGGGTTCACCTAGGGGAGTTGGAGAACCCTGATTCCAAACCAATGGTGCACATGGGCTCCAGTATCCTGATGGAACGAATGGCGAATGAACCTATTGTTGGTCAACGGCTACCATGGGACTGCATCTCCTCACGATGCTCCACTGCCTTGTGGATCAGACCTTTAGATCAAAGGCTCGGGGTGTGGCCCTCTAAGAAAACCACCTGCTTCGGTTTGGGCACCCGGGAAGTATCACAGCCCACACACAAATAAATGAAATGATGAATTCGATTGACGATACTATTCTCGCTCATCCTAGAAGCAAGACAATTTACAATATTATTATTACTATTATTACTACCATTATTATTATTACTATTATTTACTAAGTCGCTTTTTCACTCCCTTTATTCCCAAATTCTGTATCCTTCTTTTCCAACTTATGCAGTAGCTCGCCCATGGTGGAAACTCTGTCCTGTCTAAACGATCTCCAGTCACTGTCTGGTTGAAAATGAATGCTTCCACCGATTACGAATACTAAAGCAGTCTTTCTGAAACCACGTACGCCGTTCAAGCTGGCTTCCTTCAATGTTCGCACACTAATGCAGATCGGACAACAGATAGGGCTGGCTATGTCTTTAGAAAGTCTTAATGTTGATGTTTGCTGTCTATCCGAGACCCGTATTCAAGACTCTAGTAAAGTACTACAAATTCACTCTCCATCTGTCGCCTCGAAAAGCTTGTTTCACGTGCGCTTATCCGGGGACTCTGTGGCATCTTCGTCTGGTCTTGCAGGCGTTGGTGCTGCACTAAGCGCTAGGGCTGAGGCAGCACTAATCGATTGGATCCCCATTAACAGTCGGTTATGTGCTGTTAGATTAGAAAGTTCCATCAAAGTGAGAAGAAACCGGTGTGAGAAACGGTGTCTTTTCGTCATCTCCGCCTATGCCCCGACAGATTGCAGCCCGGATGTAATCAAGGATGAGTTTTACCATCAGTTAACAGTTCTTCTCCAGAAAGCGCGTTCGACAGATATTGTAGTATTACCTGGAGACTTGAATACTCAGGTCGGGCGTCTAGGCACAGAAGAGAGTCGTTTAGGTGGCCGATGGGGACTTGTTGGTCGCAGGACAGATAACGGTGACCGTTTGCTGCAACTGTGCACAGACCATAACCTGTTTCTGGCCAGCACTAACTTCCGGCACAGTCATCGCCGGTGTGCCACCTGGAGTCCTCCCTCTGCATCCCAAGCCTGGACTCAGATTGATCACATCGCGATCAGCTACCGCTGACGTGGTTGTGTACAAGACTGCCGCTCCTTTTGGAGTACCTATCTGGAGTCTGATCATGCTCTGGTCTGCGCCAATCTCACCTTACTTTTCAGTGGCCGAAGGATTGACCACCACCAACGGATCGATGTTAGTAAACTGTCTGCAACTTCTGTTGCAAGCAAGTATCGAGCGGAGCTAGCCTCTAGGCTAGCTACCATCAGATCGAAAAGTATAGATGAGCATTGGTTGCTTCTTCACGACGCCATGAAAATGGCGAGTAAAGCCGCTTGCGGCTTCGCGAAACGTCCCGCTTACAAGCACTGGGTTTCTTCTGGCTCCTTACAACTGATGGAAGCCCGTCGGTCTACTCCGGGTGACCGTGAGTTTGACCACAAACGAAGGCTGTTACGTAATGAAATCGGGCAAAGCTTGCGTAAGTACCGAGAAGCCTGGTGGTCGGAGCGTGCTAATGAGATGGAAGCAGCAGCTGCATCTGGTAACTGCCGGAAGCTCTTTCAACCCATCCGAGCCACTGGCAGCAAGAAGTCTGGTGTGAGTGAAACAATCTACGAGGATGATGGGATGCCAATCACTAAACATCTCTCGACGTCTTGGACGATGGGCGGAATTTTTCGAAGGGCAGTTCAACTGGCCTGCTACTCCGGCAACATCAACCAGTTTGTCCTGCCCCCCATGACCGGTGACGACTGATCCATCAAACGAGGCGGAAGTCCGCAAGGAACTCCAACTCTTGAAGCGCTACAAATCACCTGGCCTAGATGACTTACCTCCGGCTCTTTTTAAAGATGGTGGTGACTTTCTGGCTAAGGAACTGACGGTGTTGTTTGCAAAGGTTTGGGAGCAAGAAAGTGTTCCAACATCATGGAATGAGTCAATAGTCGTTCCTATCTTTAAAAAGGGTTCACGTTGTTCCTGTAACAACTATCGAGGGATAAGTCTACTTCCGATTGCGTCCGAACTATTGGCTTCTGTCATTCTTCGTAGGTTGTTTAAAACCCAAGAACGATTGACTCGCGAGGAGCAGGCTGGTTTTCGTTCTGGTCGAGGATGCATTGATCACATCTTCACCCTCCGCCAAATGTTAGAACACCGTCATACTTATCGCAGGCCAACAATCGTAGTGTTTCTTGATATCAGGGCTGCCTTCGATTTGTTGGACAGGACTATTCTCTGGGATTGTCTATTGAAGAAGGGTGTGCCTAAGAAGTTCATTAACATCTTAAAGGCCCTGTATACGAACACCTCAGGCAGAGTGAGGGCATACAACCACCTTTCTCCCTTGTTTCATTCGAGCAGTGGGGTTAGGCAGAGTTGCCCGATCTCACTATTCCTCTTCAACTTTGCCATCGATGACATCCTGGAAACAGCTCTGATGGATGTAAGTAATGGCGGTGTGGATATGTTGCCTGGAGAACGACTTCTCGACCTCGAGTATGCGGATGATATTGTCTTACTGTGCGATAATGCCCAAGGCATGCAATCCGCACTTAATCAGTTGGCAATCAGTGTCCACAGGTACGGCATGTGCTTTGCACCCTCCAAGTGCAAAGTACTCCTACAAGACTGGCAGGATTCTCATCCTGTACTTACCTTGGATGGTGAGGAGATCGAAGTAGTTGAGAAGTTCGTGTATCTAGGTAGCTATATAAGTGCTGGTGGTGGCATGAGTGATGAGATTGATGCACGTATAAGGAAAACCAGAGCGGCTTATGCCAATCTGGGCCATCTTTGGCGCCTTCGTGATGTTAGTATGGCTGTAAAAGGTCGGATCTACAACGCGTCGGTGAGAGCAGTTTTGCTCTATGCTTGTGAAACCTGGCCTCTCCGAGTTGAGGATGTTAGACGTCTCTCTGTTCGATCATCGTTGTCTCCGAAGGATTGCTGGTATACAGTGGCAACACCATGTTAGTAATGCAGAGGTTCGGCATCGTGTGTTCGGGCGCAGGGATGATAATTCAATTGGCGTCACCATCTTGAAACACCGACTTCGGTGGCTTGGACATGTTTTACGAATGTCGTCCCAGAGACTTCCACGCCGTGCATTATTTGCCGACTCTGGGACTGGTTGGAAGAAGCGGAGAGGAGGTCAGTGTATGACATGGTGTCGTGGCATGAAAGAGAGCTGCAAAGGGCTAGCTTCTATTGGTCCTTCACGACTCCCTGGCTGGGGTCCGAGAGATGGTGCAACACAGTGGCTAGAGACGTTATCGGATATGGCTCAGAATAGAAGCCAGTGGCGATCCTGCTGCAACCTTCTTTTACTTTCTTCACAAAGAGTGGTTCTAACTTTCTTAACTGAAAGAGTTCTGGTTGTACATTTTAGTCCGCCTTATCTTTTCATCCCTTCTCTTCCTACTTTCATTATTTTGTGTGGCGCATATGTATCTGGTGCACTTTTGTACCAATATATATGTGTTTAAATAAAATAAAATAAAAAAGGGCAGATGCATGAATAAACGTCTTATTTCTTGACTTCATTCACTCAAAAATAAGAAAAGCCTGTCATTGTACAAAACTTACCAGGTTGTTTGAAAAAACACATTGCAGGAACCCAGTGCCATCGCGAAGTATAATGAACATTAAAGTTTTACTCTGACGACGTATTCGATGCACCCAACCATACACACATACACGTTGATGGTATAAAGTTTGTACATCACGAATTTTACATCGTTTCGCTTCAGGTAATTCTGTGTCCAAACGCAGTTGAGTATCCACTGCTTCACTAAGATTACCGTTTTCAGCAGATGGCTGAGAAAGAAATGCAACAAAATGTCTAATAAGAATAAAAAAATATGTAAACTGTAACTCACACATAGAACAAGGTTATATGTTTGACTTTAAGCCATACTCATTCTGTGGGGCCTACCGATCTTACTAAGATGGGTTGGGGCTGGATCCGAACCCTTTATCTACTAATTGACAGTCCAGTATTCCAAGCAATAGGCTACATTCGAAAGGGCATGAAACACTGAAGAACAGCTTTCACAGTTAGCCTTATATTTTTTCTATCATAGATGCTACAAAACAAAGTGGTTAATATTTACAAATATATTGTGAACTTTATGTGGCAACTAGATGAATATTAAAATAATTAGCAGAATAGTGAGAAACCGTAGTAAAGGTTAATTTAAAAATAAATATATTTTTACATATGACCTCTTTAAACATCTTTGTAGTGTAGATGTACTACTATTCTATGCAGCATATTTCTTAATCTTCATGTTATTCACTTATCAAAGTTAATATAATCGGCTTTGATCCAACCTTTTATGGGGACCAACTGTTACTGAGAGGCCATATTATTTTCCAAGATCGAAATATATGAACAGAACATTTGAGTGGCGAAGTTGTGCTTTTAATGCATCTATCAGCAAATGATCAGTCAGTCAACTACAACGTAGGACCAGGCACATATATGCATCGGTCCAAGTTGCCATACCTCGTTTGCATAACAAGATGAACACCAAATTCATAGAAGTAGTTAATTTAATTGTGGTATACATAAAAGAAAGATTGTATATAAGGATATAGTACAGGAAGAAAGATAGATATGAAGCAAATTTAATCTCTGTTTAAGGGAAGACAAAGAGTGTATACACCTGCGCCATTGTGAGCTATGTCACACAGAGACTCCAACCATTGGTTACGTTGGATGCGCGGACCCCAATCAAGTAGTCTGTATCTACCAACATGGCTCAGACTAGAGGTTAGTGACTTCAAGCACTGATGCCATGTTTTGGTTTGGCCATCCTTAACTCTCTTCCAACCATCCCCGATACTAATCAGCATTGCCCGCCGTTGTAATCGATATTCAGGCATACGCAACACGTGGCCCAACCATCTCAGTCGATGAAGATTCATGACCTTATCGACTGATTTACCATCATTCCCTAATACCCTGTGTCTAACCTCACTATTACTTACCCAGTGATTCCAGCAAAGGCTAGCAATATTTCTAAGACATCTGTGGTCAAATACTAGTAACTTACGAGTATTTTCTACTCCTAAAGTAGAACAGAGCGAACTGCCGTGCAGTATACTCATCCCTTAATTGATAGACGGATATCTCATCTTCGCCATAGGTAACGTAAGTTGGCAAAAGCCAAACGAGCTTTTTGAATCCGTGTTGAGATTTCGTCAGACACCAACCCATTAGGGGTGGTCAGACTTCCAAGATAAGTGAAGTTGTCGACCCGTTCGACTACTTTGCTCCCTATCCTTAGTTCAGTTGTTGACGCAGGCCAGTCCTGGAGTAACAATTTACATTTAGAGGGATAGAAAAGCATCCTACACATCCTGGCATTGTTACTCAGTGCTATCAAAAGACTCTTCATTTTAACAGCGTCTTCACCAAACAAGACTGTCATCGGCATATTCTAAGTCAACAAGTGAATCTCCTAGTAGAAGTCCAACCCCTCTAAATTTGGATGAGGAAAGTGTTATTTCTAAAAGCACATCTACGATAAAGTTAGACAAGAATGAAGAGTGGATAGCCCTAACGAACACTACTTGAGGTAATCAATTCTGATGACAATTTGCCATAAGCTCTAAATCAACCAGTTGTGTTCGAGTAAAGAGCCTGTATAAGGTTAATGTACTTCTTTGGTACCCCTTTCAGTGACAAACACTGCCATAGAACCTCACGATCAACGGAGTCAAATGCCGCCTTGAAGTCGAGAAATACTACGATTGTGGGGCGTCTGAATGTGTGTCTATGTTCTAGGATCTGACGTAGTGTGAATACCTGGTCCAAACAAGCACGTCCAGGTTGCAAACCAGAGCCATAGAAGCCATCAATACCGGAATAAGTAAATCTCACATTACCTGCAAGCGAGACTTACAACTTTCTCCTTTGACACCTTATCATGTTTCCTTTCTTGAATATGATATTGTTTGATCACCTTTTTTAGTTTAGATTTAGATACAGGATCCCACATTCCATTTTCAACACCATCAACCCAAATGCGCGTATCTGCATCAATTTTTCCATCTAACTTAGTGATGGCCTGAAGAACAGTTTTAAGAGGAGCTGTTTCTGTCCCGTCTCCAGTCGTATCGGAGCCACGCTTTTCAGAAGTATATATCTGCATATTGATATTTGTCCAGTTCAAGTTCAACAGGGATCAAATGACAGTCTAAATAATTACATCCAGGAATTATTAAGAGATAAATAACAGGATAAACAAAAATAATGTTCATAATTACTTGTTAAAATTGCCAGATGACAAATCAGTCAGTCAGTCAGTCACAACGTAGAACTTCGTACGTACGTACATCAGTTCGAGTTGCCATACCACATTAGCACAGAGATGCAGTTGTCCATTCAAATCCCATAGTGGTAGAAGTAGTAGGAGTATAATCAGAAATCCAAAAGATTAGGGTTTGAAGAAATTATTGAAGGAGTATAGTACAGTGAAATAAATTTGGAAAGAGAAAAAGATAAAGACATGAGGAGTTCAGAAGATTAGAATTTGGTAGAACACAAAGAATGGATGCACCTTCGCCATTGCAAACGATTTTGAGCCATGTCATTCAAGGTCTCTAACCATCGGTTGCTATCATCTCGCGAATCCCAACCAGGTAGTCTACACCTACCAACATGGCCCAGTCCACTTGTCAGTGACTTCATGGATTTGTGCCACGTTTTGGTCTGGCCACCCCTAGCTTTCTTCCAACCTACTCCTACACCATGAAACATTGCACGTCGGGGCAGTCGGTGGTCGGGCATACGTAACACATGTCCTAGCCATCTCAACTGATGAAGTTTCACTACTTCATCAATCGATTCCAAATGACAAATATTTCATTAGATTGAATACATCTGATATGGGATGATGCGAATAGGAAGACTCCGTAAAAAGGGGGCATACAGTTCCTTCGTGAAGAATTTCATTATGGTAATATTAAAGGGTATTCGGTCAATATCAGCAACTAACAGAATATCCCAGCTAAGTTGTTTGAAGTAATATACTACTGTAACTTGATGCTAAAAGAAATGTAATACTAGGCTCCACAAGAAAGTTTTTAGCTATCGTCAGTTTCTTAGTTAACCTACTATTAAAATCGACGTATTTGTGTTAATGGTCTCTCAGTCCATACGATGCTGTCTTGTCTTCTTATGAGCCAGAACGACCACTCAATAGCACTAATTTAGTGAAGATAAGCCAAGCAAACACATTAAATAGACTTAAAAAGTGAAAACGATGTCGCAAAGTTCTTATTTTAATAATTATGGTTTACTGAGAGTTAAAGCGTTTAAAGGACAAAAAGTAAATCTTGTAGAACCCTACTTAACGTTCCAAAAGTTCAGAGTGTTGGTCAGGTTCACCAACTGAGGTTGGTTGGCCAAATTAACTACCGAAGATTTATTGCCTAGAATTGGTTTGACTTCATTCACTGCTAACTACTAGTCTGTAAGACGACGTGATACCCATCAACGGTCTAAATACAACTGTTGATTACTACCTACTAAATTTAAGTGTCAAAATGATAGTTTTTGGTATGATATCTATTCAGTTTTATTAACCGCACCGTTCCCTACACTTCTAAGTTGTGATTTCTTGTGTTCTCATAGTTATGATTGAAAAATTACTATTCATACTGGTTGTAAACCGAAAACCACCGACGGATACAGCGAAGCAGTTGAAATGTATCCTAGTCGCCACATATCACTAAAACATCAAGAAATCAATGGACAAGCGAAGAATCAAAAACTAATGCTAGAAAACTTGAAGTACGAATGAGGGTGTACTAGCATATCTACACAAAGTACGGATAGACCGAGTTTGTATTCTTATAGTGGATACTAGTTAGAGAGTCGGTGAAAACCAGGAAGCACTGAACACGTGTCTTGTTCTAGTATGACTCCAGAATGTGGGTCCTGTATTTTACCAGAGGTCTAGGATGAGGTCTTAACCTTCGGGTCGTTAGTTTGAGATTTAGTGGTCATTTTGTGATGTCAAAACCACAAAATTTAACAAACGACGTAACCCCCTATTCCGTCAAATTGGATTTCTTAACTCTTAGGAAATTACAATAGTAGTAGTGTATTGCCTGGATTTCAGTTTCTCAACACCATTTGTAGGTGGTGCACTTTACACTTTAAGACAAACACCTCCACCGATGGGACTCAGATGTGAGGTAAATTACAAGAAGCCTAAGATGACATTGTATGGGAATCGAGTGAGCGAAGCATTTTACGAAGCTTCTTAGACAGTTATAAAAAAAGGCTAGAATCGAAAACAAGAGAACAAGCGGGCGGAAGACTCAGTAAAGAGATCGGATGAACTTACACTAAGTAATAAATGTATTCGACAATAGATAACAGTGATGAAGGTATAATGTGAAGGTAATCCAGTAGTCGAAAGCAAGGTAGCAGTCAGATCTTGAACGCGCCACGCAACTTCAGAACGGTAACGCTTCAGGTGAATCGTGCACTGATGTAGGTTGCTGAGCCCTTCAAGGTCAACCTTTTGTAAAACGATTGGTGCGTCACCTCGACAATTTTTAAGGTTTTGCATAAGCGGTCAAATCAATACTTCTTAGATTTGAATTGAGTTCAGCCACGCTATGTCTTATAACGTCCATCCCTCAAGTAACGAAAACGATCCCATCGTGATGACTCATGATACTGGACTAATCTCCAATGATATCATGATATTAATACAAGTTGAGACGATTGATTGTCTGCAATGCGAATATGAAAAAATCATAGTTGATTTTGGTTTTTGGCTGTGCACAAGGCAGAAATGGAAAGGTAGAGCGAAAAGGTGTCGTGATACCACAGTGTTTCTGCCTGTAGCTGTAAATAATTCCCCAAAATCAATAGCTCATTAAGTGTTCGACATTGGATGCTGACCATGTTGTTTAAGTGGACTTGTTTAGCTGAAGGCTTTTGGTCATGCATCCGCAAGAGATCACGTTTCAACACGGCGTGGGACACAGCTCCTACGTTTCATTAGCCAGCTTATAGAAAAGGTCCTCAATATATTGGTAACGAATCAAATATATCATTCCTGCCTCTTCTCATCTGACTTCTGATTTCTATCTGACTGGGAACAATCGAATATAGAAGGTGCTACTGGTATCTAGTTGTAAAACTAGAACATCCGTTGCATCATCATTGGTGAGACCGACGTGATCTGGTACACCAAGTCAATATACTGTGAGTCTGTTCCATTTTGGAATATTATTATTCATTGTTATTCTTTATTTGAATTTTATATATTGTGATATACTTTTTTTCGCGAATTTTTTTTCTCGGATATATTTTAATTAGACATTTTCGTTAGCTATATTATTATGACGGAACACTCACCCAAGGTTTTTAAGTTAAAGTCTATTCCCCCTATTTCAATTCAGTTAACGCCATTTTGGCCCGACAATATCGAGTTCTGGTTCTGCTATGCAGAAGCCGATTTTTGCATCCACGGAATCACGGATTCGCGCACACGTTTCCTCGCTGTAGTAAAGGCGTTACCGCGCGAGTCTAACAGGTACGTAACACCTAGTATGTTTACTAGTGATGTTCCCGAACCTTACGAAACGCTTAAACTATCGATTTTAAAACGCGGAGACTTAACTGATCGACAACGGTTAGACCAACTCCTTAACAATATCGACTTACAACATGGTTCTGTGACGGACATGTTGCTTAGAATGAGAGAAGTCATTGGCCAACGAACTTTCGATGATGGCCTATTTAGACAACTTTTCTTGTCTAAACTCCCTCAACAGGTGCAGGCAGTGCTTGTTTCATTTCAAAACAATGCCATAGATGAACTAGCTGCATCTGCCGATCGAATCTTGGAAATCACCAAATTTTCTATAGCCGAGGTTTTTACTATCAAAGAAAAACCCCAATCGACCTCGACTGATATGACCGAACTATGTCACACGCTTACAAGATATCTTAGAGTTCGTAATGACCGTAGTCGGTCAAAATCCTCACGTAGGAGCGTTTCACGTAAGAGATCTGTCTCTCGTGGTCGAGAGACAGACAACCCCGACTGGTGCTGGTATCACAATCAGTACGGTAAATCCTCTAGAAATTGCAGGAAGCCCTGCAATTATCCGACCCCAAAATCGAGTGACACGAAAAACAGTTAGGGAAACTTCCCTGCCGGCACGCGTTAACGGCAACCGTAGCCGGCGAACACAGCCGCCTATTATATGTCACGGATGTGACTACGAAAGTTCGCTATCTCGTCGACACTGGCGCAGAAGTTAGCGTTCTTCCAGCAAATCCCGACGACAGACTTCGCGAGTCGGTTTTAAGTTTACAGGCGGCAAACGGAAAGCCGATCGCTACTTACGGTAAAAGGTACGTCTACCTTAACGTGGGTTTACGCAAACCCATACACTGGAATTTCGTGGTTGCAGATGTCTCTATCCCAATCATTGGTATAGACCTGTTACAACACCACAATCTACTCATCGACACACGCGCACGAAGGTTAATAGACGGAAACACTAAGTTATCCGTTTGCGTAACTCCTTGTTCCGGTTGCAGGTTATCCCCAGTCACGATTAAGCACGCCATAGACCCATTGTACAAATCAGTACTCGACAAATACCCCGGGATATACCAATCGCAATCGAAATTGCCTTGTGTAACCAGCAATGTTACACATCACATCTCGACTACAGGATCACCTGTATTTTCGAAAGCCCGAAGACTCGCTCCCGAAAAGCTTAGGTTAGCTAAAAACGAATTCAACCACATGATAGACCTAGGGATAATTCGACCATCGAATAGTCCATGGGCATCCCCATTGCACATGGTCCCTAAAAAGGACAGCAATGATTGGCGGCCAACTGGTGATTATCGGCGTCTGAATGCTAAAACCATTCCCGATCGTTACCCGCTGCCTCATATTCACGATTTGACAGCTACCTTGAAAGGTACAACTGTCTTTTGGAAAATCGACTTGGTTAAAGCTTATAACCAAATCCCGATGGCACCTGACGACATTCTTAAAACCGCCATCATCACTCCCTTCGGTCTTTACGAATTTCTACGAATGCCTTTTGGTTTAAGAAATGCGGCTCAAACCTTCCAAAGGTTTATAGACGACGTCTTCCGAGGTCTCAACTTCGTACATGCGTATGCTGATGACTGTCTAATAGCAAGTCCGGACAGAGAATCACATCTCAAACATCTGGACATTGTTTTCGATCGACTCCAAAGGCATGGCATTACTGTCAACATTCAGAAATGCCAAATGGGAACTAACTGCTTGGACTTCTTAGGACACACTATTGATGCCCAAGGCATCCGACCCCTTAGAAGCAAAGTGGCGGCCATTTTGGATTACACAGAACCGACCACGATCAAGCAGTTACGAACTTTTAACGGACTCGTAATTTTCTATAGACGGTTCATACCCAAATGCGCATCCTTAATGAAACCGTTAACAGATCAGCTTCGTGGAAATGCGAAATCAATTAGTTTAGACGACATAGCCCGTAAAGCATTCTCCACAGTTAAGGAACACATCGCTAAAGCAACCCTGCTTGCTCATCAGGACACTCAAGCGCCCATTAGTATCGCTGTAGACGCATCCGACTCAGCAATCGGAGCAGTCTTACAACAATGGGTTAACAACTCATGGCAACCTTTAGGATTTTTCTCCAGACGGTTGTTAGACGCGGAATCTAGGTACAGTACGTTCGGTAGGGAACTCCTAGCTATGTATTGTGCTGTACGGCATTTCCAACATTCCATCGAAGGAAGAGAATTCACGCTTTTTACCCATCACATGTTATTTCCTATTGGTCATTAATTACAGTTGTCTTGACTATGACTTTCACGTGTCGTTTTCCTATTGATCAATTTTGAGTTGTCCGAATTATAACCTTTACATGTCCTTCCTTTCCATTGGTTACTGTTAATAGTCATGTTAACTGTATAAATATGCCTTGTCTGTAAACCATTTTTGTTCTGCTGCTGACCTCATAAACAATTCTCATTTAACGGCTGTGTTCTGATTTATTGGAGTTGGGGAACAGTATTGGGGTCGAACTAGGATATCTGAATTTGGTCAATCGGTAGAATTTAGTGTAGTCCTATCGCAATACGTAATATTTGGGCAATTTATAACAGTATAGACGGTCTTTTATTGCTTTGATTAACTCAGTGGAAATGTCTCTACATATATGTAATTCTTCACCAGATTTCTTTACAACCACTAATGATGTTATCCATGTAAAATAATAGACAAGAGAAATAGTCCCAGAGCTCTGCAGTCTGTCGATTCTTGCATCTGAAGGCATCAGCAATCGAATAACGTACTGGTTTCTTTGGACGGAACACAGGTTTTGCTCCTCAATGAACATGCTAACTTACCTTTGCTTTTACACAGTCCCAGTTTGTCTTCGAAGACATACCAAAAATTATCATGCGGTTCCCTCACGCATAGCCATCTAAAGTAACCTGAGAGTGATTGAAATACTGACGAATTACTCATATTACAGACAGTACTCAACGGTGAGTCCCATAAAATTAGTATAAAGATTTGCAGAAGCACAACATCTACCGATCATAGTCTTGCAACCCAGTGTGAGAGGTAGCACTTCTTCTCTGAGAGGATTAATATCAGCTTCTGTGGCACCCTAAGGGTTATAAAATGTAGGTCGAAATTCATGTCGATTAAGTTTTATACAGGTATCTCTAGAAATTATTACTACATCGGACCCTGTATCCATTTGCAACATGACCTGTTTACCGTAAAAACAGGTAGTTACATGCTTTCTTTTAGATGAGAACTGGGCACTTTGTGTAGCTAGAACGATATTAGAATTATTGATATTTCTTGCGACGTCCGCCTCTTTTTTCCCTCACAAAACTAGTTTTGACGGTCGACAGTCTTTTGTATACTTTTACAACGTACTTTATTATGGTCATATCTACCGCATCGGAAACAAAATCTTTTAAAATGGCGGGCATTATCGGAATGTTACTCCCCGCATCACCAACAAGACGTCTTAAGCTTCGTTCGGCTAGGGTTTGCTCCTGCGTTAATAAACTCAGTTTCAAAATGGCGTTCAACCTTTTACGATTGTTATTAATTAGATCCTCATGGTACTTAAACCCACTCCAAAAATAATTCCATATCCTGGATCAGATCTAAATTCATTTGTTGAATTCGCAATAAAATTGGAAGTCACAAGGGAACCCAAGACATGAATTTTCGAGGAAACCGACATATTGTTGACCAACAATTAGGTGAGAGCATTTTGTTATTTCATTAGCGATTTGAGATCCTTCATTTTATCGATATAAAATACACTTTGATATATGGGCATAGATCCTGTAAGACCTTTGTTTAAAGTTTTGCGCATGAAAATTCACTACATCCACACTGTTGTGATTTATTAATCTTGGTTTCTTCAGATGTACATTGTGTTGGTCGTTTGATTTTATTTGTGACGGTACTAGTTGTATTTTTCCGCAGTTTTTGTTTTCCTCATTGAATTTCAATGTTTTTCCTGAATAATATCTATGCTACTTTAGTTTATGCGAAATCATGATGGCGTCCAATTTGATTCGCTCACTATTTTGACTGCAATGTCTGCATTAACTTTAATTGTGCATCTCTTATTGTAAATTGAGGCGCTGTTCCAGATTTGGAGGCACTCCGTGTTATAGCAAGACTAAATTTTATCCTTTAAACAATTTGTAAATGACCTATGAGAAAAGGATAGAATAACATTTATTTGTTGTGCTTGTTAATTCTATTATATATTTTATTAACTTATAAATTTATTGTGATTTGGATTCGACTTCTGATTAAACAATAATTGGTCGAATAACTGGGTGGCAATATTTGTTTCGGCAATAATGTAAATTCAAATTTATGATTAAATTTAGAACCGTCATTTGCCCAATTACCTTATCCTCATTATTCGATTGTCTCTTAGTTTAATATAGAAGGTGACCGTTTCTTTCAAATCGTCTCTTGATTGGCAATAGTCACTGGCTAAGTAACGTTTATTTGTTCATTTTTTGTCGTCTGTCTGCTTGGATGGCTGGTAAACTTTGTTCCGAGGAAAATCGTCCTCAGCTTTATTGTCGAAGCTTCTCAGTGATGTTGCTGTAAGTATTACTTCTGAAGTCAAGCAGGCAATTATATTTCATAACCCTTTCATTTAATGTCGTCAATAATGGATTCAACATAGCACTAGAAGCTTGTTCAATGGGTGATTTCGCTTTCCTTTAATTAAAAAAATTATCTATTGATAATTATTTGAAGTATACTGCACTTGAATATTTGCTCAGTTCCTTCGGATATATTTTCGGTCGTTTGCCAGGTCGTACTATTTCACTTCAGGGCCCCAACAAGACTGGGATACTTGAGAGCTAAATTCATTGGCGCCAGTATATTTGATTAGCTAGAATACCCACTCTGGTGTCTAACAAAGACATGGGATTGGACCGCAGTATCGAGATGTGAGCGCAAGTAGGTCACCTTGCATGCAATATTTTGAAGCAGAGATACTAGGGACTTAAGTGAACAGGCTGTCAGTATGTTTGCATTTAGTCCATGTAATTTTGTGTCTCGTTGGATATTTATTCTTAAAAAATTTCTTACTGAGATTTTCATATACATTTGTTTTTCATTACGTTGAGTCTTTCAGTGTGCGGTCGAAGTTTAAATGTCTCAGCGTCCATTCTTCTGTTGATCAGCAACTTTTTCAAATACACTACTCCATAATTTTTATCACTTATTAGTCCCAGAGTGTAACTGGGTCGATAAACATTTCGGAAACGAAGTGACGCGAAAGGATAGACTGCATTTTATGTAAAGGATGACTAAGGATTACTTAACGAATGTTTCAAACCTCTTATTCAGTATTTTGAAGCTATTCTGAAAACTCTGGTGGTTTATATTATTTTAAGTCCTGTGGCTCTAAATAAAGTGTGAATTTGGAGCACGATGTTCTGGAGGCTAAAATAAAACTTCGAGAAGTGATGAACGAATCCTTATTTTAATTTGGTCCAGTGTTACTTCATAAATACTGTTCATTTCTGTATCCGACACAATCAAACGCACAAATGAAGAGGAAGGATATATCACGTGTTGCCATGCAAAGATAGATCATTTCTCTGCTCGCTCAAGTTTCACAGGAGGGAATTTCAAAGATCTAGTTTTAATGTGGTGTATAACTTATTCCATGAAGTACCATTATTTGCTTGTTTTTGGTGCCACATTTTCATCTGTGAAGTCCTATTTGCTTGGAGCTTACTGCTATATTAGGTTAGTTAGTGACAGATGAAAAAGCTTCGCCACAGCAGTTTGCAGATGTTTCACGTTTCTGAAGTTCTTCAAAAGGTTTTGAAGACATTTTATTAAGTCGGTTGAACGTTGTATGCATACTAAACAAAATTATTCACCTGTCTAGGTGATTGTTAGTGGAACATACTACATTCGGTCATACCCAGGACTAATAGATAATTGATGAGACACACGGAATTAAGAATAGAGGGACGCTAAGTTGTTGCGTGTGCGATTATTCTTTATGTCCCCTACGAAGACACCTTCTAACCCTCCTTCACATTCTGAATCAAAAGTTTAAATTCATATCAGTCTGAATTACAGCAGCTCTTTCAGTGTTCTATGCAATTGTGTGGTTGAGAAATCTGTAATTAACATGCAATAAATCTAAAAACTTGGAGAACTGAAAAAATCTTATGCTTGTCCATGGACGCTTTTTTCAGTTATTTTTTTGGATGACGATTCCATGTTTCAGTACTTCAGTAATCAATTTACTTGCACCTACAATGAAGTGGATCCTAATTTTGGCCGTCCTAATATACAATGTGCTATATGAAACTATTGCGACCTAATACAACAACAGTCACAACGAAACTGCAAACTATAAGGTAAACTGTGATTTTCAATGTTTTTGTAAGAACAAATCCATTTAAAAATAACCTGACGCGTGAAGAAGATTTATTTACTTACGACTGTTATCTCTCATGGAGGAGCATAGGCAGCGCACCAACATTCCTGATTGAACTCTGTTCTAGGCAATCCTTTTCAGTTGCTGCTGATCCTTTTCTGATGGGCGAAAATGGTGGTGGGGTGATAGTCTCTTTGCACCCATGTCTGTGGGGGAGGACGTTTTGTTAACTAACGGCTCCTTATGGTCTGGCGAGATAAAATTAAAAAATGTTTTGATGCTAGCTTCCTATGCCATATTCCTCCTTTAATCATGTTCATGACCTTGAACTGACTTCACTTCCTACAGAGAAATTCCATTACAAACTAAACTGGGCAATAAAGCTAATAATTAGTATACTCATGACTCTATAAAGTATTTAGTAATAAAAAGGAGTAATAATAACCACTGCGAAAAGCTCCACTTTTTATTCAAACACTGTGTTTGCATTACTGCATTTTAAAAACATACATAATCACAAACTGAGTTCTTTTGAATCGCTTACATTTAAGCCATCTTTTTTCCTGTTCGTCGCCATACCTTTGGGTTGTTTTCTTTGACTTGTCAAATAAAAATTGTTTAAAAAATTGACCTTATAGAAAAAAGTAAGTTTAAGTAGTCATACTTTATTTATTTCATCACCGATGGTTGAACTTTGTCAGTCACGGACATTGTCTGTACCGCTTTTTGTTCAACTCTTCGCCATTGTGATATACTATGGAAAAGACATTGAACGTATAACTTCATCCTACACCCTCATTATTATCTCCCATATTCATCTGAGAACACCATCATAAAGCACAAAATAATTCGCTAGAGTTGACGTTTCCGCTCATCAGTTATGTAATTATCTCATTGCCTCTTGTTATAAACAGCTCTGAACTTGCACTCATTCTCGACCACACTTTCCTGCATCAAGCGAGCCAAGGTTTATATTAAACTTTCGTGTTTTACTAACAATCATATTCTAACTTTAGAAAAATTTACCCCTCGTATTCATTAACATTGTGTTTTATAACTTATTACAGCTAGTCCAGTAGCATTTGTAACGCTTTGATCATGCCTGCAAGCAGGCATGCCTCGTGTGACATACTGCTGTTGTTGTTTATTGGAGAAACTTATAAACCAGAGTTGTGTCACTTAGTTCATAGTGGGGACTTGTCATGTTCTATTCGTGAATCTGTAATAGTATGGGCTCTAGATGCACCATACTTGAATTCAATCATGCATTCATTACCTAACACTTTCAAAGGGTCAGAAATGGTGAGTGCGGAAACACATAATCAGTATGGCATTGATCGACCATACAGGGGTGGTTACTTTATTTAACTTCCGCCTTTTCGTACAAAACGTATTATTCTATCCCAGGCCCAAATGCGTTCTTCGGAAATCCAGAATATTATATTGCTGCCTGTCACTTAGGACAGGTCATTATCGACAATGATGTGACTTCCACATAAGATCTAATAGATTAGGTAGTCTCATCGTAGCAAATCTACGGTACTGGGATTATGTCTATTATTCTCACCGGAAAGACAAATGCACTTGATACGGACCTAGACATTAACTGAAGAAGTCTTTGAAAGATATTTGTAAAAGCAGTTATAGAACCTGAAGTTAGTTAATGGGAGACATATGTTTCTGACCATCTAGGGGCTATGTTCTATCCCAAAAGTGTGATAAATCATCCCAAATTTGCTCGAAATGTTAGCGGCCAAATTAAAGAACAATAATATAAAAATACAAATATTATACAACGAATTACCCATTAGTCTTAACAATTGAAAAGCGAAGCTATTATCCTTTGATATCAGGTAAAATTAACCAAGTCAAACAAGGATAGTCAGTACGGTTTAAACCAAAAAATGAACACATTACACACCAGTACAAAAAGTCTGGGAATAGGACTACAAGAATTGGGGGATTAATAAATGGTCACATGGGAGACACGAGTTGAGGGTTTTTTTTACAAACGCTCACGTATGCATACGCAAGGATTATACACTAGTCTTTAAGAGCAATGTCATGGCGAAACATCGAACGATATCGAGATACAAACGTAGTGAACACTTCATTTTCATTTTCCTGACGTATGACGCTAGCGAAATGTCAATGAAAAGTACCCAAATCATGCGATCGGTAAGGCACTAAGTGTTGAACAGTTTCCTGATCCTAGTCAATGTTAAGGATGAAATGACCTACTTTTCTCGAAGAGAACGCGATTGGCATAATGGAAACAATCATTACTATAACCAATTTACCAGTGACTGTTCTACTGTACTGTTTAACTGTATCCAAATCACTTTTCGCTCTGTTGTCATTATTGTCCGTTTGAACTTTTTTACGCTCTGCTTTTTTGCCTGTAATCTTTGGCACGTCCCGGTATTTCTTCGATATCACGAGATCGCCAATAAATATACTTTATCTGGACCAGTTACAGCCTTCTGGTTTACGAACCATCGAATGAACTAAGTCGATTTCTGGCGCGTAATCTTACTGTAGTGGTGACCATAGTCAATCGAGACTCAACGCCATCTACAAGGACATTATACTTTATCATATCGCATGTCATTGAGAGACACATAAGGCGGTAGTTTTATCTCGTATTTCTTTATCATGGGAAAACTAACATATTCTGTTGCCTTCCGAGATTATGTGTTCTAGCCGGCCAATTAGGAAATCTATTCACTCGGTTGTCACAAGAACGTAATCCAGGTTAAGTATTAACTTCGAAGTGTAACTTTGATGCAAGCTATGATGTCTCACCATTCCCATGCAATTCGAGCACACCGCCACTATCCATATATATCGCTTAAATTTGCTATTTACACTCATTCCATTGACCAACTCACATACATGCAGGTTGAGACAATATTTACTTAGATAACACCTAACTAAAGCGATGAATTGCCACAATCTAATTTAAAGTAAGACTGATAACGCATGCACTACAACAGTGAAAGTTTAGCTAGATTATTCCATTTAATATGTTTGATTATGTCTTGAAATTCCGAACTCCGCAAAAGTCCTTTAAGAGGAAGCCCGATATATTCCTAAAGATTCAGAACACAAGCTCGTTATAAATTAACAAATACAGCTATTTGTGCTTGTTTCATATATATAAGTTTCTGCCTGAAAGGGATGGTAATTCATTACTATGGTACAGGGAATTTCTCCAAGAGAAAGATTAAGAAGTATGTCTGGAGTGGTTTGAGTCTAGCCAGAGGGCACTTTGCATATTAGGGAAGGATGCAGAGTAGCGTGAGGAGGTTGGAAAAGGGAAGAACAAGGGCAAAGGTGAATCAATGACCCAGTAACTGCACACAATCTACTTGAATATACTTTCGAAGGCAATAGACAACAATCAGCAATTACACAAGCCTCAGATTAAGACAATTTTGAGATCGAAACCATGAGATGAATGAACGACTATAAAGTTGTGTCAAAATGTCGTCAGTTCAGATTGGCTAAAACGTTTTTATTGTCATCAATAATGAAGTGAATATGCACTCATAATTCCGATTCCAATTGTCCTTGGAGTTTGTTTAACTACATCATTTTTATTCGTTTACTCACCAATTCAAAACCCGCTTTATCGACTGGCCAATTTAGTGTCGAAGTAGCTTGCTAGTTAGTTTGGTGTTACAGCGTTTTTTGTTTATTTTATATCTTCATATGCCTGTTTATATATGCAGTAAAATGGGCTATGAATATTTTTATGTATGGCACCCAATAAGACAGCAACTGAGCACAATAATTAGAATAGGGTCGACCTTATTGTTAGTCGTTTAGTGTTGTAATAAAGATTAACTCTTGCAATGCTGTAAGAGTTATTAGACAGTGCGTATCTGAAATATACTGCTCATCAGTATCGTTCTGCCTTTACTAACGCCAACTGGATAATTTCGGATTAACTTTAAGTGAAGAAAGCTTCGATCATGAATAAGGTAGAAGATATTCTCAATATTTCTGTAGAAGTCAGATTTATCATCAGTACTTCAGTTGGCCAAATCCCACATGCTAATGAACTCGGTTTAATTGACGTCCCGTTGCTTACAGCCAAGAATGTTGTATTATTCCTGAAACTTGTTCTCATATTCAGGTCATCGTGGTTGTGAAAATTTTGATATCCTAAATTCCATTTATAAAGTCAGTGAAATATCAGTAAGCCATAACTAGACTGTCTATCAAGCTGAACTGTCCTCGTGTTAGAAAACTCATATTTTGAGCTTTTGATTGTCATCGTCAAAATAAACACCTTTGTTTACAGCCGCTAATTTCTTCAATCAAGCTCTTGCAGTACGTCATATGGCATGGGTCACTTTTCGCAAACTAAAATTTCGCATTCACTTGGTAACAAAATGCTTTTCTTTCGCGCAAAGTTGTTTTTTAACTTTCCAACTTTCCAAAATACTCACTAGTTTACTTTCGTCTTTAATTGTCCGACGATAAATGTAGCATTTTATCCACTGCGCTCCCGTGATGTTAGCAATGTGTGATGACTCTTGGCTTAATGAATCTAGTATCAAGGATAAAGATTCTCTGATTACGTTGGCTAAGATTCAAGAGCAAGCTGAGCGATTCAATGATATGGCGTGTGCTATGAAAAAAGTTGTCGAGACATCAAAAACACTTAACAACGAGGAGAGAAACTTGTTTTCAGTGGCTTATAAGAATGTAGTCGGGTGTTGTAGGTCAGCTTGGCGTGTTGTTTCAAATATTGAACAACGATTGGATGACCAGAAGAAAAAGCAAGCGGGAGAATACCGTAGTACTATTGAGAAGGAATTACAAGCTGTCTGCCAGGAAGTCTTAGTAAGATTTCTAAGTCTTCCTGACAACATTTCCTTATTAGGATTTATTACACGAATCGCTACTCAAAAGTGAAAATACAGCAGAAGGATTCGTGTTTTATAAGAAAATGGAAGGTGATTATTATAGATATTTAGCTGAGGTTCTAACTGGAGACAAACGTGCTGATGTTGTAAAACATTCAAGAGAAGCTTACCAGGCAGCGACGGAGAAGGCAAATAGTGATCTACCTCCAACTCATCCAATCCGTCTGGGCTTAGCCCTAAACTTCTCTGTGTTTTATTATGAAATTGAAAACAACCCAGAAAAAGCATGCTCAATTGCTCAGACTGCATTTAATGAATCAATCGGACAGTTAGACCAACCTGACAGTGGTTCCTTTAAAGATAGTACACTTGTAATGCAACTCCTTCGTGATAACTTAACTGTAAGTTGCTAATTTACGATAACAAACCTTTTTCAGTTATGGACTTCCGAACGTGAAGCTGCTCAGTAACAAAGAATATAAGTATCCACGTTATTTTTACTTTAAAAACGTAACATCAGAAATGCTTTTTACATTCACTTAATAACGTATGATCGAATTTATTGGTCACTTCTAATTTAGTATCTATTGAATAAATTGTGTGGCAGTTGTCGTCATCATACCATATGGTATACCAATTTAAATGAATATTTATGTAAACTTCAACTGTAAGATCATTCTTGCTAATGTTAATATCTATTCATTCTAATAAGATGAATGGTTGCTTTGTTAAATAAATTGCAAATCCACTGAGTTTATATTTCACTTGGTTCATATACTTTAGTAATATGTTATGTCTAAACAGTAAAGGATTTTATGTATTTACATATGCAGTGTTTCACATTAAACATATGTAAGTAACTAGAAGTTGTTATATCTAGGTTTGAACTCGGGGAATTTTCCCGATTCACAAGGTCAGTGTAGACTTTATTAAATAAAATTACAGAATGATGTCAGAGTTCCTCACAAAACGGTGAAATTCATTTTTTTGATAACAGTTACTGAACTGTTTTTCAAGTAAACATCTAAAAAGTCGATATTCAGGCGTCATTGTGGTACATATCGTTCGAATGTTGAGACCGTTTTTGATTGGCCACATAAATAGTGTCTTGTATTGATGAAATTAATGTTCCTTCTCTGTTCCAAGTGGGGTTAATTTTAAGTGTTGATCGTCGATCTAGGTATTATTGGTGGATTAACATTTATATTGGTTTAAAAAGGTCGAAATTGGCACTTAAGTTTTACTGAGTCTGAATTTGCTTTTTACCATTGTCGTGTAATACGTTCTACGTTACAGAAGAAGGATGTTTTGACATGGTATGTTGTAGTATCAGTAATTCTGTTAATCATACATACATACGGCTTTTGTCTCGTAATGTATGCTTAACTAATTGCAGTTCTGAATAGGGCCCACTCTCATCTCCTTTGTCACATGTTTATGATAGTGAAGATCCAGGAATATTAACTACTCTGATAGTTTTCAAAACGTCAATGTCACATATTTATTTGGTTATGAGTTTAGTCACATGATGATGTTTTAGCCTATGTAACATTTTATTCAACTGGATCCAAGCTTACACTCTTATAAAATTACATACTGTTTTTGCTTAGAGCCGAGCAAAATTTTACTATGCCACATAATAGATTTATTTTTTGTGTTCACTCATTGTCATCTTGTTATTCGGTAATCTTTAGTTCCTGCACAATTAATCTAAATGGCTGTCATATATAGAATGCTGAAAAGCAAATAACTATGATTTGGAATCAAATATTCCCACAAGTGAGGAAGAAAAATGAAGTTGTTTCAATTTAATGAGAAAAAGTGAAATGAAATAGTATATTTTACCAACTTCAAGCTTTTACGATGTCGAAAACGTCATACTTATTCTCAAAATGACTCCTCTAGAAACAGTGTATTTACTCGTTGAAAATGAGGACTTGTTTCTGTCTTCGTCCATTGCACATTAATTTGTTATCGTTATGATATGGAGTCTTGAAGGGACGTTGAAAATCATGAATCACATGAATTAGCTGTTCAGTGTAAACTCATAGCTCTTCAGGGTTGTATATCTTTTACTTACTCTAATGCAATCGGTATAATTTGTTCGGAGCTTAGGATTAAATCGACCTTTAGTAATACAATGATAACATTTGCTGTACACTTGAATTCGGTTAAATGAACCAAATTTAAGCTGATAATTTGAAAGCTTAGGCATATTGGTCATAATAGGTAATAGCTCTTTAACAATTAGTGAAAGCTTTCTGGATTTTCTCAAGATGGGCTTTCTCATGATAAAATGGGTTTTAATTGTTATTGGTAGAGTTTTAGCTGGATCAATTGTAAGTATAGCAAAGTATTCTGTAATGAAACTTGTAAATAGAGTCATATATTCAAACAGTTAGGTCGACAATGATTTCAGTAGTATGACCTTATATTACTTTGTGTAGGCAGTATCATCAATCGATGTTTACCAACAATATGCATATTTTCAGTTTCCCTATACCACGAGCTTCATGGAACTCTGGTTTAGTGTTATGGACAACTGACTTTTGACCTGGAAGTGACAGGTCTGGAACTCGCTCCATTTCTCCAGTTTGGACAGCCAGGTGGTATTACAGGCTATCACTTGCAAAGTGCGTTTCAACGTCATCGTTTAAGGACATTGTAAGTTATCTATGCACAATTACTGCTTACCTACATCAATTTGCGATGTATACGATGGGTCGTTTGATAAATCTTTGTCATTTAGATTAACCTAGGTTAGGAGGCAGATATGGGGTTGTTCTATCTATTAAATTAGAAATCAGAGCTACGGGAAAGGATTCCGTTAAGCAAATATTGGCCGTATCAGTTAGTCAACGGTGTATATTTTATTGGAGCTTTATGATTTAGCATAACTACATTTACATTAAAATCTATGTACAAGTTTCTCTTGTAAGGCAACAAAACCTAATGTATATTATTGTCATTATCTAGCCCTTACCATTCTTAATTGGGTTCTATATACGTATACGCATATGAATTAGATTGACAATCAATTCACTTCAGAAATCTAGATTAATTTATTCATCAAATATGTCTTGATAATTAGATGCGGTATTTTCTAACACTGCCTGTTGTGCAAAATGAACGTAGTTAACTTCCTCATTCTTTAGTTTGCTCAGTTTAAAGGGAAGTGTTGAATATAGACTATTACTCAATTCATCTAATCAATTTCGAATCCTAGGTAATTACCATTTCATAGCTCTGTGTTCTTTATATCTATTTCTAAACGGTATTAAACTTACATAAACTCTTCAAATCTACAATTGTCACACTCCATCTTATCAGTTTCCGAACTCGATTTTCATGTGACTTCACATAAGCTTTTATATATATATATATATATATATATATATATATATATATATATATATATATATATATATATATATATATATATATATATATATATATATATAATAACCGGTGAACAGAAATCACTCAACAAAATTAGTTCATATTATTGTGTTTTAGTTTTCGTTCTGACTTTATTCAAATTCATAAGAGCTACCAACTGTATAGAATTCACTAAAGGATTTATTGAATTCATTCAGAGGAAATGGTCGAGTGATTAAATATGTAAATGTTTTCAGAAATATTTATTTTAAAATATGGTGTAAATTAAACTCAGTGAAATTTAAACAAATCAATAAGAAATATAAAAAAGGAGTCAAAAAACTCCTCATATAAAAGCTTTGGCAAAACAACAACTAATCTTGATATGTGACCATTGTCAATATCATTTTAAATAAGAAAAGAAGTATTATAAATTGTCGAAAGTAAACAATAGAGATGGAAACCTTATTTATTAAGACCGTTAGACATTTATCAACATGTAAATTAAGTTAGTATATTTACATCGAAGTGCAATTTTATTACCACGGTAAGTGAAGGCCAAATGATAACATGAATTCAGTTTTAACATAAAAAGGTTACTATTGTTCGTACAAACCATGATTTTGATCAAAGTGATATTCAGCAAAGAAATATTTGAATACCAATATCTTTCAGTGTCTACTTTCTCGGGTCCAAGTCGATAAAAAATGTTAATAGTTAAAGACCCTGACTGGTACAAAGTAAAATCAGTCACATTAATTGAAATTTATAATATTATTTTGATTTTCGTGCATTGTAAATAGTCTTTGGTATTGTCTATCAATCGTCTTTCTACATTTTCCCTTTCTATCCTTGATTTTTGAGTCATTTTTTAAGAGAAAAGCTTTTACTTAGCATAATAGGTTTATAAGGGTTGTTGAATGTTGTAGTTTACATCACTAATTGATATTAACTAAGCACCCACTGATAACACAAAACAATGCATTGCTATTTATTTGTCGTATGAAACCTATCAATAAAAGTGTGCATTCATGACCATATTAGGAACTAAACTCAGGGCTTTCAGGTCTCTTGGACAGCTTTTAACCCATAAACTATTGATTTGTCATTCAGTGGTTCACGACTGCAACTCCAATTATTCCATGATGTTACTCGACCATATTTCAGGATCATTGTTAGAAAACTACCTTGCTCTTGATACGGTTAAACTCCACTGGTGGCAGATTTTCACTAGAACCCTTTGAATTACCTTTGAAAATTAGGCAATGCAAGATTTATATATTTATTTAAACACACAAATATTGGTACAAAGGGAAACCAGATATATATACGTCGCACAAATCTCATTTGATTTGTGTGAGGGCTGTGATACTATCCAGGTGCCCAAACTGAAGCAGGTGATTTTCTTAGGGGGACACACCCGGAGCCTTTGAGCAAAAGGTCTGATCCACAATGCAGTGGAGCATCGTGTGGAGATGCAGTCTCATGGTAGTCGGTGACCAACGATTGATTCATACGCCATTTTTCCCCCAGGATACTGGAGCCCATGTGCACCATTGATTTAGAATCAGGGTTTTTGAACTCCCCTAGGTGAACTTTCCGTGTCCACCGAGACGGGTAAAGCGCCGGATATTCGCTTTTCGTTCTCTCAACTTCGTAAACAACACCCCTATCACAAGGAGGAAGTGAGTAGGACTTTCCTGAAAGAGGCTGTATACTCGTGGCCATGTGAGAGTATTTCGAGAGTGAGGGTGGCCCCTCTGCACTCTCGGCCGTACCAGGGCATTAGTGTTTGTGCAAATTGTTGAGTCGTGAAGTTTACATCACAAAATAACTGGGTAGTTCGGAGACAAAGACTGTCGTTGAGCTGCACCTATTTATACTAACATAAAACAGTTGTCTCGTGCTTCCTCGTTTTCAATAGTTGCCTAACCAAGATCATTGTGTTTTCGAGCTTTGGAATATCTTTTTTAAATTCTTCATTCCTATACTATTGCAAAATCCAGTTGATTGTTTACGGGGCCTATTCAACCTTGAATTTCTACTTCTGTAATATGGTTTCATTGTTGAAGAAATTATTTTAGCATAAATA